CTGCGCCTGCGGCGCTGGCGCCGCCAGCAGCTGCTGCCGGCGGACAGCGGCGCCCTGCGCGGCGTGCCCGTGTCGCACTTCGTGGGCATCGACGGCGTGCGCGCCTTCCTCCAGTCCTACTCGCACGAGGTGTCGCTCACGGCCGACTCGCGCAAGAGCCAGCTGCGCTTCTCGGCCGGCAGCTGCTGCGACACCCTCCCGGCCCGGCCGCCGCCCGACGAGCCCGCGCCGCTGCTCGGGGACCACGATCCTGCCGGCGCCCTCCCCGCCGATCCCGCCCCTCCCTCGGTGAGTTTCGGGTCGAATTCTGTCCGTGGCGCTTCCTCCTGCTGCCTCCCTGTACTTTCCCCCCTCTCTTCTCTGTCCTGATTTGGGAAGTATTCTGACGAGTAAGGCATAGTTTCGGTGAGCGATGTGCTGGTGCCTTTTGCTGTGGGGTGGTGGACATAGGAATTCGATCTCAGTGTTAACGGTTGATGAGCCTTTGAGGAGAATTCGAGCTCTTCTCTGCTGCAGATTCTCTGTTTGAGATCTTAGTTTTGTGAGTGCAGGTTGTGTAATTTCGGTGATCTCGGCAGTATTCGGTCTCCAATTGTATTATATTACGTGGTAAAGAAGTGGCAGTTTGCATTGTTGTCAGTATCAGCTGTGTTCTTGACAGCACTCGTGCTTGAGCCGAGTGACAGAACATTCGTATTCCCGTCTAGAAATTTTGAATTCGTGATAGTATTTTTAGTTTTGTACACAATCTTATGGCTTTTGTTTTTCTTTCACCCCTGTCCCCCCCGCATAATTGTTTGCTCATTATATTTTAAAAATTATTTATTGTTGTTTAAAACAGTATGAACTACATCGTAGTATGAATTTTTAACAGCAACCGTTTTTTCATGTCTGTCTTTGTTATACTTAATTATCACTCTCCCCATACTCCTTTTCTTTAAATAGTATTTAGGATAAATGTAAACCATTGTTTGAAATTTTAGGTGGACCCGTGTTTGTCTGCTTTGCTTTGGGTTTGTTACATTTCTGACTTTTGAAAGGGTGTTCCTCATCCAGTAGTTGCAGCAATGTCAATTTTGTGTAGCATTCTGTTTTTTTCCAGGAGACCATTTCCAGGCATTTTTGCTTTTGGTTGTGGGGATTTCTTTGGTTGAGTATAAAGTGAGCTTCACACTCGGGAGTGAGTAGAGATGGTGGAAGAGTAGTGCATTTGCTTTTTGCTAATGCTGTTAAATCGAAATTATATATGTTAGTACTGGTTTGTCACCTTGGTAGTGCATCATCACTGTGCTCCTGCAAAGATGGAGTTGAAGAACTGGACGTTCCCAGGCAGAAGGTTCAGATTAGAGACCATATGCCTCTTTTTATGCCTTCAAACTATGGGTGAACATCTAGAAATTAGAGCGTAATGTCGAGATTTCTGCTTAGATGCATTACAGGTGGCACGGCACTGCAAGGAAAGTCGAGATACACTTGTGTAAAGGGTTGTTCATTTGTGCTTTTTATGATGCCTTATATCTTGTTTTGTATCATTCTCTGTTGCGCTCGATCTTTCCATGCGAAGTGTTTAAAATGGATGCAATGTAGAAGGAAGAGTGTTATGTACATTTTTAATGCATCACTGGTTAGAAATGTTGTTTTTTTCTTTCTGTGCTTCTTACCAGCCGGTGAGCACAATCCAGAGTTACTGCACCTGAAGTGATTTTGTGAGAATGATCTGATTGTCTGTGAGAAGCTTCTTGTGCCAAACAAGTTGATTTCCAAAGGATTGTTGCTGTTCTAAGGGAAATTTTTGTCTATTCTACTCTTCGCCATTGTGCCTTTTTCAGAGAGATGGTGCTGTAGCCGAGGGTGTAGCAACAGTAGGTCCTGATGTGCCAAAGTTCATTTGCCAATGTTCATTTCTTGATCACAGTGTTGCTCACAGGTTTGACTCTTAGACATACACAGGTATTTTCATTGTGAACTGTTTATTGGTTGAAGGTTGTTCCAAAAGTCAGTTGTCTATTTTTGTATTTATCACAGTTGTCGTATAACACAAAGTTTTCAATTAACATTAATTATTTGAAAGCTTGAAAGCAGTGTCTAATTTATGGAATACAACAAAGGGTGAGGGAGGGCAAGATTCTACTTAAGTACTTTCTCAGTATTCTCTCTCTGAAGCTAGAGTGTGGCTGCTTCTTGTTGCAGAGGAAGAGCCTGTTCTCACAGCAATGTTGAGGCCAATTATCATTTCCTAATAACTGTTATGGAGGAAGAGATAAAAACTGTGTCTTGTAGTTTCTATCTTGGTATTTTTTGAGACAGTGGCAAGAGTGGTGTAAGTGGGAACCGAGTTATCGCCAGGACCCTGTGAATGAGCACAGTAAGAATTCATGGAGTTATTTCTTGAGCAATAGGAGTGTTGTGAAAACCTCCTGTACCCGTAGTTTCCCAAAACCTGGTTTGGGTAGCATTTGGAATGATTCAGCTGATCATAACATGCTCTGCTCTCTACAAGGTCAGGAAACAAGAGCTGTTGATTTGTGGAGAGTCTTGTATTTCATGATTTCCTTTGGTTGTTGCAGGGAGGTGGTGTCAGCACAAACAGGCATCGAGGTGGATCAAGTGTTTTATCATTTCTTTTTTCAGACCATCCCACTCCCGGAGCATTCAGTGTCTTGTTGTGGCAAAGGACACATCACTGTGTTTGAGCCATGGGCAAACTGCCTTCTCTAGTTGTGCCTTTCTGAGATTCCTTTTCTGAGTTTTTTTTTGTTGTTGTTGTCTTTTTGTCTCGAAGTCTCTGTCCTGGGGAAGGTAGCTGACGTGTCATATATGCCTCAGGCATCACCACAGAGGAGTATTAACATTCATTTTTACAATTCTCAGAGTAAAAAATTCAGCACACTGCTAACTGAAGTATCCTGGGAGCATGGATACCTTTTTCAGTCTGTCCCCATTCTCAGATCTACTTACTTAAGCCGTTCACTGAAAAAGCTTTTTGAAGAAGTGCTTTAAAAGGTCATCCTTCCCAACAGGGTAAGTAGTTGTGGTAATATCCATTATTTGTAAAACTGGAAACATGTAAGGATAATGCTGTTCTAGAGAATAAGACTTATCATTTCCCTCCAGTCACAGTTACTGTGAGAGGGATATAAAAGAACAGGAAAATAAACAAGAATCTCCAGAAAGAAGATGTTGCTTATGGTGCTTCTTAGCTACAAAGATTTCTCTTCCCGAGTATTTTGTAGATGTTCGTTCACAGAGATGGTAGAAATTAAATAAAAGAGCTGGGTAAAGAGAGCCCACAGCAGTAATAGAAGGGTTAGGAATCTGCAAATCTGCAAGGCATTTGATGCAGTGTACCTGCTTGTGCTTACCTGTACTCACCTGGGTTCCCTTGTACGAAGTCTGCGTGATCCTCCACTACTCCACTACACGTTCCACAGCCAGGGTCTTCGTTTTTGCTTCTGAACAGAGCTCCTCGATTCCCCTTTCCGCGGGTATGACAAAACTTGCCAAACTGAACTCTCACTCGCGGTTTTGGGTAGCTGATGGGGGTGAGCAGCCAACGGGGCGGCCCGGGGCGAGACCCCCTTGAGCGCCGTCCGGCGGCTGCAGTGGCGCGGCGGCGCCTCCGGGTGCCGCTGTTGGCCGCCGCCGAGCGGCGCTGGAGCCGCCGCCGCCGCCGCCGCAGCGTCCTGCCCCCGCAGGCTGCTCGCTCGCCCGGCGCCGGCCGCAGCGGCAGCGGCACCGCCACCGGCAGCAGCGGCGGCGGCGGCGAGGGGCGGGGAGAGGCGGCCCGAGCGGGCTGGCTGCGCT